GCCAAACAACACCCAGACCTCATAAAATCAATCATCAAATAATTAAAAAAGTTAAATCGCAAATTCCAACGTTCCATCTAGCAATTGGTTCAAATGCTTGAATGTTTCTCACCTGCTGGACGCCTCATCCCCAGTGGTAAGCAGTGTCACCAATCTCCCCGACCGTGGTGGGTGCCGGCAGTGGGGCTGTGGGCTCGCGGATGTGCGTGGGGCTGGGGCTGCTGTCGCCTTGTTTCGCCAGAGACGGGGCAGACGAGGTGGCGGCGGGTGGGGGCGCCGGGTCAGGCCAGCGCCGCCGCCACCTCGGACGATTCGCAGGAAGGCGCGAAGGCTGGAGAAGGAGCTGTTGCGTCGTCGGCGGGGGCGGGGCGGGGGCCGGGGGCGGGGGGCGGGGGCGGGGCGCGGAAGCCTTCCCCTTGCGGCGGCGGGGGCGGCGCGGAAGGCCGCGGGCCCGCCTCGTGCATGTCCATGTGTGCGCTTGCGATTGCTGCAGTCGGCGACAGCGCTTGCGCACACCCGAAGCACTGGGGGAGTTGAGCAAGCACAATTTCATAATGCCAATCCATCCTTATTTCATTTTACAAGACACAAGACAGTGACATAACTGTTCAGACACCACAACAGACGTTTCCGACATACATAAACTGGACTGCGGAATGATATTTAGAATTGAATTTCAACCAATGGATTTTTAGTTCCAAAGTTAATGTAATAAGAACACAAGTTAATCACTTTTCATTAAGTTATAAGTAACTATTATTTATCAATTTATATACCGATTTATTGCATTTAGAACGTTTCTTCATAACTTTCCACACACACACACACACACACACACACACACCAGAACCCAACACATCGTTTATATTATTTCAGTAGTATACGTACCTTTAGCGGCTCTCACACGCAACGCGGATCCATTATAAATGAGGTATCCAAAGAAAGAGAATTTTACAGAGACGTGACGAATTGAAACTCTTGATTAAAAAATAATGAAGATTTAATTTTTAAAAAACTAAAAACTGATATGTTCAACTGCAATCCGCGCAGCAACGCAGTTCAGCTCTAGCGTTAAATAACTCCTAAGAGTTCTAGAGCCTGACGGCCGAAGTCCTCAAAGTAACATTCTTTACAAACCGGTAAATCCATCAAAAAGAATGGATTTTCGGACATTCTGGTAAATTGGTTGCTGGTCGTACACATCGATATTAACGCAATGCACCTAGATTCACCCTTGGCTGATGGTGGCATCTTTGTGATGGTCACTCTTAGAAGGCTTAAATTCGCCTCTATCTTACACTATTATACTTACTGTGTACACCGAGGTTTGCGCAGATTGACGAGGTTTATTTACATAATTATTAATTGAAGATTCGCTCCTCGTACAACAAACTAGAAACTTCTATTAATAGTTCTTTATACCCATAAAAGAAGTTTTTTATGCATGTAGTGAAAACATCAATTCACGTTGCCGAGGTTCTACAAGTGCTGTTTTACCCTAATTGTGGAGGGAATGTGATTGTACAGTGAAAAGTGAAAGACGTGTCTTGTTAGGTTTTGGTTTGTGTTTTACCGCAACAGTAAATTTTTTGTTATCAGTGATTCGTGAAACTTTCAAAGTCTGCGTGTCACTCATGTAACTATCTCAAGAGTTAAAAGTTTTTTTTCACTATTTTGTGACTTTCAATTGAAAATCGAAAAGCTAACTGTTAACGAAATATTAATTATTAATTGAAATAATTTGTAAAGGGAGTGCTGTGAATTGTTCCAAAGACATCTCTCAATAATACCGAATAAATATTTTGTGAAAATTTCTTTTCTACATCAATTGCATTTTTTAAAATTTTATTTTAGATATGTGTTAGTACAATGGAGTGTTACTATAATACATTTTTTAAACTAAATACTTAGTTAACAATTTCTTCTCTTTTTAGAATGTAAATAGAAGAGTTAGGGAATAGTCGTCGGGTGCTGATGTTCTCGCACGAGTACGCTATGAGGTAGTGGGACCGGGGAAAACATGTGCTATGATTGGAACAACACAAGAGAGAGGTTAACTTTTTTAATAAATCGACCTGAAATAATAGATCTCATGCGCGAAGATAAATCGGGAACATACGACAATATATAAAAGAGCTCGGGCACCATACGCCATGATAATCGTTTACGTGAATTAATTTTATTGAAAAAATTAAACAAGTTATATAATTTGTAGGAAGAGAAGGGCTCAGTCCATCTGTCGAATCAATACCTTTGCACATTTTGATTTCCACTGCCGCATTCAACAAATCGCATTTGATCGTCGAGATTTAAATGTCGCAGTATTCCCGAATAGTTCTGTTCATGTTGAGAAGTTGTGCACTAAGTATGCGTTCTTCACAGATGAGCTCTCGTGCGCAAGTTAATATCATGTGTTAGAGCCACACTCACACGTCGCTGTTAAATATATAACCATTAAGGTAGTTTGTTTCGATCTCAGATACAGCTACATATACAGTGCACCTGAATCTTCCAGCGTTAGACAAGTCATGCGTTTGCGCATACATCACTAATGTACAGATTGGAGATGAAACAGATACCTTAGTAGAGACTCACTAGAATCTATGGTATCATTATATGTGGGTGGAGCCATGATAGAGGTATACCTTGACACGCGTAGTGGATCTGAAAGGTGAAAATATTAGTTTCATTACTTTTTTGGCACGGAACTTGCTTTTTTTTGAAAGGTACTTAAAGCAACGCAGAAAAATCAAAATACTTTTTAGTATAGCAAATAATTTTTTAATTTTCGCACTCCAGCAAGCTGACACCCCTGCTTCCTCCAAAACCTCACTTTAATTCGCTCATTAACAAATCCAGGAAGGGTTATACTTGGCCCGAATTTGGTATTTTCGCATGGAAAACAGTTTTCGAGAGTAAAACCTTTTTAGTTTATTTTTTTTTACTATCCACCCAGAAACCGCGAAAAAGCTAAGCTGTCGAGATTGTCAAATGTTTCTTAAAGGAAGAACAATCGAAAACGCATATGTTTTGGAGGAGCAGGGTGTCAGCTTGCTGGAGTGCGAAAATTGAAAAATTATTTGTATACTAAAAAGTATTTGATTTTGCTGCGTTCTTAAGTACCTCAAAAAAAGCAATTCCGTGCCAAAAAGTAATAAAACTAATATTTTCACCTTTGAGTAATAAATACGATTTGCTACCATTAGAAAAAAAATTCTGTACGCCTAGACGTCACCTCTGTACATGAGAATGTTGTGCAAACGATGCTTACGTATTTCATATCTGAGATCAACAACACCTTAAGTTTAATATTAAACGGTGTATTACTTTCGATATATGAGTTTACTAATGGGCATTTATGAACAGACATTCAGATACTGCGAACATTTAAATCGTGCGTCTGGATTGTGATCGTTGGCAATTGTCGAATGACGTGCGCTATTCTTTCTACAATTTTAAATTTGTTTAATTTTTTAAATTAATTCACGTAGTATTTTTGGCTAGTGCGTTTTTATTTTTGTTGTTCGTTTATTTGAAGCTATTTTATTTCAGGTAATTTAAAAAGTTCATTCTTTGTGTTTTCCCCTACTACCTCTGCGTACCCGTGCGAGAACTCAGGCACCCGACACTCTTCCCTACTCTTCTATTTACATTCTAAGAGAGAAAGTTGTTAACTAAACGTATTTGTTTAAAAATGTATATAGGTAACATCCATTGTACTAACACAATATCAAATAAAAATTTTAAAAAATGCAATTGATGTAGAAAAGAAATTTTCACAAAATATTTATTCGGTATTATTGAGAGATGTCTTGGAACAATTCACAGCACTCCTTTACAAATATTTCAATTAATAATTCAATATTCTTTAACAGTTAGCTTTTTTTAGTTAACAGTTAGCGATTTTCATGATAGTCACAAAAATAGGAAAAAAGCTTTTAACTCTTGAGATAGTTACATGAGTGAACACGCAGACTTGAAAGTTTCACCGAATCACTGATAACAAAAATACTGTTGCAGGTAAAACACAAACCAAACCTAAGACACGTCTTCACTTTTCACTGTACAATCACATCCCTCCACAATTAGGTAAACAGCACTTGTAGACCTCGGCAACGTGAATTGATGTTTTCACTACATGCATAAAAAACTATCTTTATCGGTATAAAGAAACTATTAATAGAAGTTCTAGTTGTTGCTGCGAGAGCGAATCTTCAATTAATAATTATGTAAATAAACCTCGTCAATCTGCGCAAACCTCGGTGTACACAGGAAGTATAAATAGTGTAAGATAGAGGAATTTAAGCCTTCTAAGAGTGACATCACAAAGATGGCCACCATCAGCAAGGGTGAAATCTAGGTGGCATTGGTAATGTCGATGTGTCGAGCCAGCAACAATTCACCAGAATGTCCGAAAATATCTCATTCTGATGATTACGGTGTAAAGAATGTTTCTTTGAGGACTTCGGCCTTCAGGCTCTAGAGCTTTTAGGAGTTATTTAACGCTATAGCTGACTGCGGGATGCAGTTGACATATTCAGTTTTAGTTTTTTAAAAATAAATTCTTCATTTTTTTAAGTCAAAGTTAATTTCGTCACGTCTCTGTAAAATTCTCTTTCTTTGGATACCTCATTTATAATGATCGGTTGCGTGTGAGAGCCGCTAAAGGTACGTATACTACTGAAATAATATAAACGATATATATGTGTGTGTATGTGTGTGTGGAAAGTTATGAAGAAACGTTTCTAAATGCAATAAAATCGGTATATAAATTGAAATAATGTTACTTATAACTTAATGAAAAGTATAAACTTGTGTTCTTATTACATACTTTGGAACTAAAATCCATTGTTGAAATCAATTCTAATATCATTCCAGTCCAGGTCTTATGTATGCAAAACGTCTGTTGTGGTGTCTGAACAGTATGTCACTGTCTTGTCTCTTGTAAAATGAAATAAGGATTGATTGTGTTTATGGAAATGTGCTTCCTCACTCCCCAGTGTTCGGTGTGCGGCAAGCGCTTCGCCGACTGCAGCAATCGCAAGCGACACATGGCCATGCACGAGGCGGGCCCGCGGCCTCCGCGCGCCTCCCGCGCCCGCAAGGGGAGAGGTTCCAAACGACAAGACCCCGAACCATACAGACAATACCGCCCGCCGACGACGAACAGCTCCTCATCCAGCTTCGCGCCTTCCTGCATCGTCCGAGGTGGGGCGGGGCTGGCCTACCACGAAGCGCCCACCACGCCGCAATCGTCTGCGTCTGGCGACAACGCGCCAGCAGCCAGCAGACAATTGCCAAGCCACAGGACTGCGCACCACACGTCGGAGATGGTGACACTGCTTACCACTGGGGATGGAGGCGTCCAGCAGGTGAGAACATTCCAAGCATTTGAACAATTGCTAGATGAACGTTGAATTGCGATTTACTTAATTATTGATGATTGGTTTATTGATGTCTGGGTGTGTTGCATGTACTCGGTGGAAGGATTGTGTTCATTGTGGAATTTTTGTATTTGAATGTTTTATGATTTTTTGATGAATTTATTTCACTTTTTAATATATATTTGTTGGTTTTTGATGAGCCTTATTTGTCTGTTGAGTATTACCTATTGACTGTACTGAAATTCAGTTATTTTCACTTAACATATTTTGGTTGTATTTTTAATTGTATTTTTTATGTGCCTTTACGTTTGTGTTAAAATGCTTGCAAGTTGCAGCTAACTTGTTTGGCATTTAGTTGTGTTTTATTTAGTGATTTTAATTAAATATTTTGTTTTGTTTTATATTGTGATTTCATCTCTAGTTTTAAAAACTGGTATTGAGGAATTTGATATTGAAACAGTTTTGAAAAGAAAGAGGGGGCTTCCTTTGACAATGAAATGCTTATTTTTTTGTCTGCTGCTTTTGGTTTTCAGTATGTTTTTTTTTCTTTTCTCTAAATGCAAGTGGAAGCATTCGGAACTAGTGATTCATTTAGTTTGCTTTACTTCTATTACAAACATATACGAAATTTTTGCGACATTGAAAGATATTATTTTTTATGAAAAGGTAATACGTAGTGGGAGACGTTTGTTACTCCTACCCTGGGCAATTTCTTTTCTTGGGTGACGGTGATGTTGGACATTTACAGACAGTCCGTAATTAGCACCCCAATATTTATTTTTACAATTTTATTTTTAATGGACCTTTCGTCCAACCATCAAAATATAGTTTCATCGCTGAGTTACTTCGCATAGCACTTATCTCGGCACTTCAGAATTCACAAGACTTTTCAAAGCTATTACAAGCTCTGACCTACAGTATTTTATTTTTAATCAACAATGTAATCTACGCATTTCTAGTAACCAGTTATTTATTTTTCCAGAAAATAGCTTGTCGGGTAGGGTTCGTAAATTTACAGTGTTTTTCCTACTGTACGGGTGACAGAAAAAAACGTGTTAACTGCTTGTGGACAGTTAATTTGGAAGTTTTCGAATTATCTATTTTTAAAAAAAAGTTACTAGTTTCTCCTGATGGAAGTGAAGATCATGATATATTTATATTAATTGTTGTAACATCGAAAATATTCCCATATGCACTGTTATATCGTCTTGTTAATGTAAGTTAACCGTACGTACAGTTCATAGATTTATTTACTTTTTACTTGTATATACTTATTTATCACACTAAGGAATAATTACATTACAAATTTAAAATATCATTTCGTGCTAAAGATATACTGAAAACATACATTAAGTATATTTTAAACAGTATACGATACTTTTGTGTCTTAAAGTAAATAAACAACAATATACAAAATAATTTAACAAAAATCTTACAATCTCAAAAACACTGATTTTGTGAAGATTCATACATTCATTTTAATGTATATCCTTGAAATGGCCGCTACCCTTTTATTTTGTGAACAAACTCAACCTCTGGCAGGTGCTGTTGCTGCCGGCGGGGCTTTGGGAGGCACTGGATTCGGAGACCGCCGCCCCTCCCTCTGCCCCCACCCCTTACCGCCGCCCCCGCGTCCGCCCCCGCCCCCACTCCAACCCCCCACCCCAACAGTTCCTCCACCTCAGCTCTCCTTGACAAAGAAAGCCATCGTCCGCATGCTCAACAGCCAGGGGCACCACCATCGCTTGAGCACACCACGTGCCCATCGTGAAGAAGCTTCTTAATATTGGGACTGTATAAGTGCTAATGCTTTCTTGATTCACCAACACAAATGACCGATGTATAAGGTGAAATTCTGTGATGAAGAAAAGGTAAGTTTGGTAATTAAGTCCTAATCCACACCAATACGAGCGGTTGGGACCAGAAGTCATGGCAACTATTTTTTTCTAAAGAAATGATATGAGATAAACAAATTTACTTGCCGCGGGCGAAAGCAAATTCTATTCTAATTTGTGTTCACAACCAACAATGGCTCTGAGTAGTGTCTCTATTTAGCACAAAGAGGCCAATGCTGAGCATCAGTCTGACTCACTACTGCCGCTTCTCGTGTTGGAGAATGAATTGTAAGCCTTTCGAGCAACGCTTCCTACATCAAGACAGCCGTTCTCCATGAGAAAAATGCCAAGGAAGTGTCCCACAAGAATTGGTTGGAAGCCCTTGGAAATAATGCCCTTCCACAGCGGGCAGTTCGCGATTGGGTGGAGAAGAAGAGTTTTCTCGAGGTTTGCGCTGCAACACAAGTAGCTATCAGCAACGCATGAACGAGTCTTGCGACGGAATAGACAAAAACAAACGCCATGGCTTTACCAATTTACACTATCACCCCCACCGTTCAATATGTTGGCAATATCCAAAAACAGCCAATTGATGAGTACAAATTTGCAAAGGCATGGGTTAATGTAATTATTAAAATTGACTTAATGTTGACAATGTATGAATTAATGTAACACCACCAATTTACTTTTACAATTCTGATTCTGAACTTTCTTATTAAAAATAAACGTAATTTCTGGGGGACACAAAGCTTGGTGAGATAGAAAAGATAAATCAAACAATTAGAAGAATTGGCAGAAAAACAAACATGGTAAAAAACCACCAAAATTAATATTTACCTGAATTGATGCAAACTGTGATTTTGCATGCCAGAGGAAATTGAGATAAGAAACTGAAAAATGAACTATATGAGTAAATAATTATGAAACTTCCATGACATTGACAACAACAATAAAATTTAAATTGAGGAAAAAGGCCAAACCCTACCCAAAAAGAATTAGCAAAAACAGATTCCTATTAGGATTATTATAATTATTTTCCTTATGCAAAACACACAATAATATTTTTGTCAATTAAAAATAATTGCCAAAAAGTTCAAATATCTAAGATATTACAATATGGCTTCTTTATGTACCAGAAAGTATGAAAATCAAACCACTTTGTGGAATGGTTTCTCCTTAAAGAAGAAAGAAAAAAATATTACAGTAAAAGATTGTGAAAAAATGCTTGTTCCAGAAGTTGCCTTTCAAATGGTGGGGTTAACCTCAGACAAAAAATATCATGAATGTTTTCCAACAATCTACTGGCCGAAAAAACCTTCCTCTATACTAAGTATATATGGAAAACTTTGCTTCAGATTGTATGCACTAAAATTCAAGACATTTCCTTTTGTTTTCCGGCATTTAATGCAAAAGAATTCCACTGCAATTCTTTACTACAACCTGACCAACCCCGTGTTTCGTGCATGCTTCCAGTGAGAGGTTGCGCGTAATCCCGAGCCTACTCGGGGGTGTTTTGGCAACAAATATTCAATTTGCTTTTGTAATGTTGTGAAACTCGTGCTAAAATGCTTTGGAACATGAAACAAATACGCGTCATTTCAAATACCTAAACGAGAAACACAATTTCGGTTGTTTTTTTTTTTTTTCCGTTAAATGTTATACACTTCTTTTCATACCTTTATCCTTTCATGTGCTATAATTCACATTTTTATCCGTGCTGGTATTCCGCAAAAGAAAAAAAATGCCTGACTTATGTCACAAACCCTTTATGGTACGAATACAGGATTTAATGCCTTATAATGAATAATGTAAATTATTTGAACATGTAGGAATAAATAAAAATAAATCTAATTATTTTCAAATCAATGTATTAAGAATAACCCTGTTCCTCTTAAATTTTGAAGGAAAAGTGAAACCATCGATTTGATTGATTGAATCTCATCTATATCAATATGTCAAGGAAAGATGATTGCGTTTTGCTACCTTACAAGCAAACCCGTCTACAAAAAAACCGTAAGTGTTGAAATTGCTGTTATAAAAGCCTACATTCAAACATATTTTATGCACAAAGCTGAATTTGTCATTATTATGACAGAAGCTAACGTCGGCCGCATACCGCAACACGAAACACTTGTGACGTTGTGCAACACGTATAGGGGTTTCTGTCAAAAGGAGCTGAAACATTCCGCATTTCGGCAAACGTCAAAAGCCATTTTCTAAAAAAAAAACGGCTTCAAATTGTTTCTTCAAACCTTTTCGCGAGTGGATATAATAAATTGCATTGGTTAAGGATGACACAAAATTTAATTTGCTGTATCCTTTGGTTTTTCAATAGTATTACACAAATGTACTTGTCTTGAAATTGTTCTCGGGTCGTTAATATGTACATTTCCAGCAATTTGTATAAATTACTACCTTTGCGAATAGGACTTCTTAAAATGAATTTAAGGAAAGTTTTTCGAAATCTCGAAAAGATTCCTTCCGAAAAAAGCGCTCCAAATTTCAATTTACTGCAACGCTTACACCGCCATTTTCTTAAACACTGCTCCAAGTGTTTGCAGTGGAAAATTGCAATTGTAGAATGAGGTTTTACTCGTTTAGATATTCATTAAAGTAATATTTCCCAAAAAAAGAAGAAAATAAAAAAAAATTGTATTTTGGCGCCCGATAAAGGCAGCTGGAAGAGTACGTAGGAAATACGAATAGCTAGCTCAGACCAATGAAAATTGTAGAAAAATTATAAGCAGTAAAGCTGTTGCCTTTCTGTAGCAACCACTAGTTTATTATTTGATATTTTGGTATGTAAATTTGAAGTCACTTTATACTTTATTTTAACAAAATGTGCACTTGTTGTTTACCATTGTCTGTCCTTAATGAAAATGGGAGATTAGGGAAGAGGATGGGATCTAACACGAGAGTTCTCGCCGGGTATGCTAATAATGCTTATTTTAAATTGTCTAAAAAACACATAGTATTTTGAACCAGTATGAATTCCTGGAAGACAAATACGTTCCGATTTCAACTATTTGAAAATTCTCTTGCCTGTCAAAAAAACCAGAATAGCCCTGCTCCTCGAAAAGACATAGGTGTTGAACAAAAGACCACCCGGCGCTTCCCTTTTTTTCGTATTCAATCCTTGTGAAAAAAGAAAAGTCACCGTGACTCTGGTCTGTTTCTCTATCTGCCTCTATTTGCCTCGGTTTCCGTCCTCTCACGCGACTGTGTGTGGTTCCATTCGTTTCTCTCTCGCCGTCTCAGGCATTTCTGCTTCTGTGCTCTATTTGTTCTGTCTCTTGACTAGCCTCTCTGACTAATATAACAATCTCTCTCTATCTCTCTGCTTCTATCTTCTGTGTCAACTTGCTTCTTTCTGCCCCCTCTCTTCTCTCTTATTTACGCCGTTCGTCTCTCTCTGTGTGTCTGTTTCCATCACTCTGCATCTCTCCGACTCTCTTCGTCTCTCTGTCATGCCTCTGGTCACGCGCGCCCGTCCGGTTCTCCTTGTGGCTGCGCCCTGCGTCAACCACCAGCCCAACTCACAGATGAATATCTTGTGGATCGCAGTTTGAATGGAAAATGAATTTAAAATGAAGAGCGATTTTGTTCTGTAGCGTCATTTATTATTAGAGTTACAACCAAATTAACAGCCACATAAAATTTTTTCCCGATGATAAACACACCATTACGTGTGCCAAACTTTCATGGAAAATTGGGTCACACGTCGGAGTGACCGCTTTTAAATATTACTAACATCCATTTTAACCAGGTTGCTAAGGCTAAGAGATACGTTTTTTAGTACATACTACCTGTTATAAATTTCGTTTTATCCTTTTATTATCACAAGATATTTGCGTTACGTAATAATGGCCGATGTGTGAATTTACACATATACTTGAACCAAAAGGATAGTAAGTCTTGATTACACAGTAACATAACTCGAACAGCTGAAATGTTCAATCTGAAGTGGTTTTAATAAAGTTTTTACATCACTTTTCTTTGTTTTTAAGACATTTTACCCTTCAACTAGACGCTGTGGTGCCGTCTTTACCCTATCTGAAAATTTCGAAGTGGAATCTTACCTATTTTTGAAACGAAAACTTTTGATAATCTGTTTACCTTCAAATAACGTGTTTATCTTTTGAATTTGAGGAAGTAACTGTTGAATTTCATGCAGTGTGGAAGCTGACATGTGGGAAAATATTTGTTGGATCACAGGCGCCCACATTACCCCAGTTACGTAACTATTGAAATGGCCGTCTCTCTTAAGACTTGCTTATGTTGCTGACGCTTACCTAGGATTGCTATCCCTAAATAAGTTAGGCACGAGGTGAAGAGGGATTTAAAGTGACACTGAAAACTTAAAAAATTTGAAATGACTGTGAGGAAGAATTTTCTTGAAGATCTGGCAAGTCAACTTGCCGGAACCCTTCATAGAACGTCAGACTCTTGAAATAGAAAAGTACTCTTAAAAACACCTATCAGAGAGCTTCATAGGAACCGTCTCAAGAATATTGAACAAAATATGTTCCTAGGGCTGCAATGTAATCCACAAGAATTCCCGGAAAAGGAAGCGATACGCAATAGATGTTAGGAAAAAGATCGAAAAAGAAAATGCTTCTCCGGTGATTACCCATGATGCCGAATCTATGCTGCTATGAATTAAGGCCCATTTGGAAAGTGTGTCTATGAGTGTATTTTTCAATTAATCTTTATATTTGTTAAATGTGTATCAGAAAATGATAAAAAATAATTAAGGCTTTAAAAATGTGGAGGCAAAAATGTGGTTTTGTTTATGGTTATTTATCAGCAATCTATAATAAAAAAGTTATTTATTATTCAGTTAAGCAAAATATATTAATATCAATTATTTTATCTAAATTATTTTGAAAATCACGTGAAAGTATGATTTAACAAAAATAGTTTAAAATTGATTTCCAATTTTAATTATAAAACAAAACAAAAAAAGGCGTAGGATCAAAATGTCACCACGATGCTTGTTATGTAACAAAAACTCACTACACCAGTTGAGGGTTAAAGCATTTTCAGAACATTTATTGATAATTTTTGGCAATGTTTTAGGTCAT